GAGCCGATCCCCCAGAGCGTGCAGCCTGACAGGCGATGGTGACAGGCGATGGTTACTGTCCTAGCTAGGCGGATACTGACCGAGCTCCCCGGCCATGTCAGGCTCTGAGCTGGCCAGGGCCCCGGCATGGGCAGAAGAAAGCTCCAGCCTGGGATCCTGGCTCCCTGACAGTGGGAACCACACCCTAGCTCCCACTGCACAAGGGGTCTAGAATCCGTGACATCGGCTCCTGCCCCGGGACCCCCTCCTGCAGTGCCCGGGGGGCTGCCCCTGCAGAGGGAGAGGTCTTCCTGCTGGTCCACTGAGTGCCACCTAGCACCCAAGCGTCTCTGGGCAGTGACAAAGCAGGGGATGGGGCTTGCTCACCCCCCACCCCTGGGTGCATGGGCAAGGGGCAAAGCCATGCCCTCCCCTCCCCATAGCACCTGGCCTCTTACCTGTGCACAGCATCCCCTGCGATCGTGGTCAGGTCCTTGGCTGAGCGCCCCCCTCAGCAGGCTCCACAGGAGACCCCAGGACCCGCACACAGGCTCCTGCATAGATATAGGAAAGCAACAGAAAGATCTGCATGTCTCAGACTTCGGTTAAGGAAAGGAAACATGTCGGAAGATGAACGAATGAATAAGGGCAAATTAAAACTTTTCTTTTCCTTATTCTTCACTGATCTAACAGATAAGAGTTGGTTCAAAAACATAATAGTATTCACATATCAACCCATGTGGACACCACGTTAACAAAATGAGGAATGAAAATCAAACAATCATTTCAAAAGATGCAGAAAATGCATTTGACTAAATTCAACATCCACTTATGATAAAAACTCTCAACAAAGTGAGCATAGAGGGAACGTACCTCAACATAATAAAGGCCACATACGACAAGCCCACGGCTCGCAGCACGCTCAGTGGGGAAAAGCTGAAAGCTTTTAGTCCCTCAAAGACCAGGAACAGGACAAGGATGTCCACTCTCACCACTTTCATTCAACGTAGTACTGGCAATCCTAACCATAGCAATCAGACAAGAAAAAGAAATAAGAGACATCCAAATTGGAAAGGAGGAAGTAAACTGTCATTATTTGTAGATGACATGATACTATATGTAGAAACCTCTAAAGTCTCCACCAAACAGGGGCTCCTTGGTGGTTCAGTCAGCTAAGCGTCCAACTTCAACTCAGGTGACGATCTCACGATTTGTGAATTCAAGCCCCACATCGGGCTCTGTGCTGACAGCTCAGAACCTGGAGCCTGATTTGGGTTCTGTGTGTGTGTGTGTGTGTGTCTCTCTGTCTCCCCTGCTTGGACTCTGTCTCTCTCCCTCTCTCAAAAATAAACAAACAGTAAAAAAAAAAATTTTTTAAGAAAATGTTTAAAAAAAAGAAAAGACTGTACCAAACAATTGCAAGAACTGATACACGAATTCAGTAAAGTCACAGGATACAAAATCAACAGACAGAAATCTGTTGCATTTCTATACACTGACAATGAGCTATCAGAATGAGAAATTAAGAAAGCAATCTCCTTTACAATTGTATCAGAAAGATTTAAACATCTAGGAATAAATTTAACCAAGGAGGTGAAACACCAGTGCATTGAAAACTATAAGACACTGATGAAAGAAATTTTAAAAGATACAAAAAAATGGAAAGATATTCCACGCTCATGAGTTGGAAGAATTCATTGTGTTAAAATGTCCATACTGCCCAAAGCAACCTGCAGATTCCATGGGATCCCTGTCAAAATTCCAATGGCAGTTTTCACAGAAATAGAACAAATAATTCTAAAATTCATATGAAACCACAAAAGACTCCAAATAGTCAAACAAATCTTGGGGGAGAACAAAGGTGAGGCACCATGATCCCTGGTTTCAAACTATATTATAGATTATAGTAATCAAAATTTGTGGGATTAGCACAAAACAGACACACAGATCAATGGAACAGAATAGAAAGCCCAGAAGTAAACCATGCACGTACGGTCAATTACTTTATAATAAAGGGGGAAAGAATATACAGCAGGGAAAAGACAGTCTTTTCAACAAACTGTGTTGGGAAAGCTGGGCGGCCACATGCAAAAGAAGGAAACCGGACTACTTTCTCACACCGTACACACAAATTAAACCAAAATGGATTCAAGACTTGAAAGTAAGACTTGGAACCGTAAACTCCTAGAGGAAAACACAGGCAGTGAGCTCTCCGACATCGGCCTTGGTGATGATTTTTTGGATCTGACTTCGAAAGTAAAGACAACAGTGTAAAAACGAACAGCGGGACCACATCAAACCAAAAAGCTTCTGCACAGCAAAGGAAACCATCGGCAAAATGGAAAGGCAGCCTATGGAACGGGAGCAAATATTTGCAAACATACCTGATAAGGACTAACATCCAAAATATATAAGGAATTCCTATGACTCAAAAGCCAAAAAATACACAATCTGGTGTAAAAGTAGGCAGAAGACATGAACAGACATCTCTCCAAAGAAGACATCTAGACGGCCAGCAGACACACAAAAAGATGCTCAACCTCACTGCTCATCAGGGAAATGCCAACCCAAAGCACGACTCACCTCACACCTGTCAGGATGGCCAGCGTCAAAAAGCCAAGAAACTAATATGTTATTTGTCGATTATGTCTCAGTAAGTGAAGCAGTAACAACGTGTTTGGTGATTAGAGCTTATGGATGAGGAGCAGGGGGAGGGACTGGGAGCGCCCCCCGCCCCCCGTGAGGCACTTGTACCGTCCCCGCAGCGGGAAGGTGCTAATCAAAGGGGATTGGTGCTAGTTATGAATGGATACCGCAAACTCCAGGGCAACCACTAAAAGGTTAAAAAAACAAAACGGAAGAGGTAATAATAGACATGCTGAGAGAGGAGAGAAAATGGAATCATGCAAATGCTCAGTTAACAGCAAAGAAGGCGGAGAAAGACCAGACCACCAAGAAAGTTACAAAGGGCGAAGAACGACGAACGTCAAACAGGAACCAATGTGCAGGGTGCTAATCCAACTGTATCAGTGGTCACCGTATTTGTTTGAGAGAGAGAGAGAGAGAGAGAGAAAATCCCAAGAAGGTTCTGTGCTGTCAGTGCAGAGCCCGACATGGGGCTCGATCCCATGAACCGTGAGATCATGACCTGAGGCGAAGCTGAGAGTTGGACGTTGAACCCACGGAGCCACTCAGGCGCCCAGTAGTCACTTTGAACATGAGTGGTACAAGGACACCAGCAAAAAGACAGAGACTCTCAGAGCAGGTAAAAAAGAAACAAGACCCAACCGTACATTGTATCGAGCAACTCACGTCACACACGAAGGCCCAGGTGGATACGGGCAAAGGGACAGAGAAGGACACGCCGCCCCAACACCGGCCACGAAACGCCAGAGTCGCCTCATCCCCGCGCCGAGCAGGTTTAAGGGCAGGGGACGTCCTCACGATGGTGACGGGCATTACGTGCTGCTGACGGGATCCAGGAAGACCCAGCCATCCTTAATGTGCACCTGGCAAGAGAGCCCCATGACCCCCCGCCCCCCACACACACCAGGTCAGGTCTCCCCCTCCCTCGGCCCTGCCGTCTACACCGCAGGCACACTGTCCGCCTGGCGCTCATCCCCGCTGCCCTGAGATGTGGGAGCTCCCCCCCACCGGCCCAGCTTTGCTCCCATCACCTCCCAGGTGGCCTCCCTGACCGCCCCCTCACATGCTCCTGCCTGGAGCCCCTCACCGTGCTCTGGCTTCTCCAGAGTCCCCACCAGGCGGCAGCAGTCACAGGTGAAGGCCTCCAGTGGCCCAGGTAACAGGAGCCAGCAGGAGGCTGGGGCTCTCACCCAGAAAGGACGCAGCGAGAGAGGTCGGCCAGGGCTGCCGCTCTGGGGACCCCCAACCCCAGCCTGGGGCGATGACCCTCCAGAGGAGGGGGCTCCGATGAGCTCATCTGCCCCGGCACAGGAGTGCAGACCCCTTCCCTGAGCCGAGGCTCCGGTAGGTGGGGAGGGCATCAGCGTCGGGACACGGTGCACCAGCCCCTGAAGGCGCCGAGATGAGCCCAGCGGGAGACCCAGGCTGAGCCCCCATCTCTGGGTGCCCCGCCTGTCGCACGGCGTGCTGCTCCGTGCCCCAGGACTGGGTGGAGACCATGCCTGGCCCCACGACTGACCCGCAGGACGCCCAGCCTCCTGGCCCGGGTGACCCCGCAACTGTGAGAGGGGCGGGCGAGTGGCAGCCACGGCGTGGAGGGGGGAGGGCAGAGGCTCATCGGAGCAGAAAAGGGTCGGGGGTCTGTCCCTCGCAACACGGGGGCCACTCGTGTTCTCTTCCTGGTAACCGACAGGCAGGGCTGACTCAGGGTCTCTCTGAAGAGCTGAACTGACCCGACTGAAACCTCCAACCCCATGAGTGCGTGGCTTTCAACTCATGGTCACTGGGAAGTAAGCTGGTGGGACATTCTCACCTGGGGGCTTTGCAGAGCGGAGCCGCCACGAAGATGCGCAGATTCGGGCCAACTGCTCACACAGGTAGCAAGAAGGTGAGGTTCGGTCTGATGCCTGAACTTTGACAAAGACCGGTTTTCAAATATGTGTTGTGGAAGCAGCGGCAATCGTGAAGTAGCCTCACTCGGGAGGGGAGGGGAGGGAAAGGGAGGGGTGGAGAAGGAGGAGCAACCCTCACATCCGCAGCCCTGCAGAAAGCCCCAGAAGGGCCCGTGTGCAAGCAGGCAAGGTCATGGACGGGAGGCTCTGGACTCGGCTGTTAGAGGGCCAGCATCGAATTCGCAGTGTCTGCAGGTGCGTGAGAAGGTGGAGACGGGACCCGGGGAAGCTCACTCACGGTGCAATTTTGGGGCCGTGTCTGGGGTCCCGACAAACAGCACAGATACAAGCCCCTTCCCAGGAGAGACGCAGGAGTGAGTACATTAGCCCAACTCCCACTTCCCTCCAGAGCCCCCCAACCCCCGGGGAAGGGGCAAGTTGGAACACGGCCCCCTCCCCACCACCCCCTCCATGGGAGGGAAACGGTCCTGCAAAGGGTGGGGGTCTGGGCTGCTCCGTGACCTCCCAGGGTTGACTGGAGCCGGGCTGGGGCTCGGAGGGGTCCATGCCCCCCCCCAATAAGGGAACAGCTTTGGGATGATGCCGGCTGGGGGGACACCCCACTGGGGGACGGCGCATCCTTCCCTAAACACCTGAAATGAGGTGACTGCTGGGCCTCGGTCTGGACGGTCCGAAGGCTTAGAAGCAGCCCAGAGCCCTGCCAACAAAGGCCCTGAGGCCCCAGCTGCCTCAGACCCCCCTTCTGGTGGAGACCGCGGGGCGAGAGCAGCATAAATAATCATGTCGCTCCTGGTGCCCACATGTCCTTATAATTAGCCGTTCTAGAACATAAATAAATTGAAATGTGTAGTTTGTCAGAGTCCAAGCTCTCCTGTCCCGAAAAGAAGCAGGTGTGTGCACATTTTAGAGCAGCGTCTGAGGGAAGCTTTGCCACCCAAATCGAGAGATTTGTGTCCCCGTGTTCAGGCCAAAATTGGGGGTGGGGGTTACAACGGTCCAGCTCCTCCCCACGCTGGGCTGCAGGCAGGTGGGAGGGTCCAGGCCCAGAGCCTTGCGGACCCCATCAGCGAGTGTCCTTCACCAAATGCCCAGCTGCAGGCCTTCCGGAACATTCTTTCCCGTCCCTCCCCCTACCAGCACGTGAGAAAGGCAAGCTACGCAGGCCCTGAGGGGGCCTCACCTGTCAGTCCTCGCGCCCCCGCGGACCCATCCCGCCGGCAGCTCCTGGGGACCAGCCCAGAGAGAATCTCACCTGCTCCCCTTTGTTCCTCTGCCCGGAGCAGGAACAGAAGCAGGAGCAGGACGGCGTCCGAGGCGCCGAGACGCGTGCGAAGGAGGATCTGGTAAAAAACACAGTGAAACTCGGGCATTAACGGATGAACTGGTCACAGATGACAGTCCTATTCGAAAGACAGTGACTCCCTTGTTCATGTGTTTACTTAATTTTAAGTAAGGCTCCCCAAATCCCTCAATCAACAGTGGGTTCTGCAAACTGTTGCGTAAGACAGGAGAGCTGAGCCCTGGGAATGGCCATCGCGCGCAACAGCGGTCGCACAGCGCCACCTGCCGGGGGCCGAGGGCACAGCCCCCCTCGCGCTCCGCGACCCCGCGCGGCCACAGAGGGAACCAGGAGCCGCAGGGCCGCTGTAATTCAAGAAATTCTTACACAAGTGTCTGGAATTCACTGGCTGCTTTTTAAGGAGAAGACCTCCATCTGAATAGGGATTTCTGGGTTCCGCAGAATTTGGATCCAACGGCCACGGGAGAGGCGGTGCGTGGGCATCGGAGGCTCGCCTGAGGCTGTCGTCGCAACCCGACTGAACGCAGGCTCCCGCCACCGGGGCTCCCACGCGGCCCCGGAGCCCCACGTGTGCTGCTGCTTTGCAAAAGCCCCAGGGAATCAGCACCTGCCTCTGGCTTCTGCAGCTCTAAGACCGGGCCTGCTCAGCTGCTCCCCAAAGACGGGCAAAGGGCCCGGGCCGCGGGGCTGCCCTCTCTCTGTGCGGTGCCTCCTTCTGCCTCCTGTGCTCTTCCCTCTGGTCCTGCCCGCCTCTGAGCCTCTAGTGAGTGCAGGGCCCCGGGCAAGGGGCTTTGGGGGCCTGAGAGGAGGGGTTCGTGGAGATGGGGCTTTTCCCTCCGATTCCTGATGTGCCTGGACACGAGGCCTCTGGGGCACGCCCAGGACTTCCTGAGATTTGTGAACGGGAAGGACTAGACCAGTGGCCGGACACTCTTCCTTCCTCCCGTCAGTTTTCAGAATCCAGTGGTGGCAGCCCTGGTTCCAGTAAATGGCTCTCTGTCTCCTTTCAGGAAATTGCGTCAAGGACGGCGGTAACAGAGCAGCTCGGAAGGAGCGCCCTGTAGGGTCTCAAGAGAGGAGTCCGATGTTGGCGCTGGAGGTGATGGGGAATGTTGGGGCATTTCCCAATCCGCCCCTCCCTCCACCCACCCATCCACCCCCTCCCTCCACCCACCCATCCACCCCTCCATCTATCCACCCGCCCATCTGTCCAAATATCCATCCGTCCGTCCACTCGCCTCTCCTTCCATCCATCCGCTACCAGGCCATCCAGCCACTTATTCGTCTATCCGTCTACCTACCTAACCATGCATATATTCCAAAGACACCACAAAGTGAGTACTTGCCATGGGATGCGTCCTCCGCAGGGTGTGAGTTTCGAATGACAAATAGGGCCCAGGGGCACTCGGTGCTTACGCATGGGGTTCGAGGCTCAGGGCCTGGAGCCAAGAGGTCCCAACTCAAATCGTCACTTGCTGTCAGAGGACTGGCCTAGGCAGGTGACCCGACCTGTGTGAGCCCCAAGGCCGCTCCTCCAAATGGGAACAGGAGGACCTACCTCTGAGAATCACCGAGAGGATTTCGGGAGATCGCGCAAGGCTCAGCGTGGCAGTAGAGATGTCCCCAGGTGGGTCATATCAAGCCACACTCAGCCTTCTCGTCTGCTGGCCCGTCTCCCCTGTCTCTGCTCGCCAACCCCCCCCCCCCCACCCCCAGTCTTGGCCTGGCCTGGCCTCACGTCTCTGACCAACAAAGGAGATGACAGTGAGTGAGGCTGAGCAAGGAGAGAACACTGACTGGGTCTCACCTCCTTTTCAACCCTCAGCTTGAGTAGGACCCACCGGAAGATGTCTCTGCCCCCCACGCCCTCCCCTGCGGGCGTCTCCGAGTTTCCCTGACACGGGGGAGGACAAAGCAGGGATAACAGAGACAGTGGCAAGAAGGGGAGTCACGTGAGGCCGCAGGCGCGGGGTTCGGCCCAGTGGCCGCTACCCCCCGGGTCCTCTGACGGGGCCAGAGACAGGTCTCACGGGACGCGCGGTCTCGTGGTGCGTGCGGGACACAAGGGAGTGCCGAGGGGGGCGGGAGGCAAAGGGACCCCGAATCCCGCAGCACCCCAAAACAGACCCTCTGGGTGAGCAAGCGGTGGGCTGCCCGACCGTGCGCATCGTGCGGCCTCAGGCGGGGACCGGGTCGCGGGGCCGTGGCAGGGGGCCCGTGCTGGGCCGCAGCCGCCTTCCGGCCAGATCCGCGAACACCGCTCAGTCTGCTCCTCACGTCTCGTTGGCGAGTGCGGGACGGCCTCCCCAGGCACAGAGCGAGCTGACCGCTGCCGGCCATCCCCGCGTCCTCGCGACCTGACGGGACACGCGTATCATCCCCTCGGCTTCAGACTCGCGGGCGTGGGGGTCACACCACACTCCCCGCACCTCCCGGTCCGTAAGTGGGAGACCCGGAATCTGGATCCACGTCATGACAGCACGCAGCCCGGCACCCCCGGGAGTGCCACCACCGGCTCCCAGCCCTCCCGCGACGCAGCCCCCTCTGCCTGGAGGCTGGTCTTCTCCTTCAGGGCCAGCTCGGAGCGCACCTTGCCCGCCAGGACCGGCCTGGCGAGGAGAATGTGCAGCGACGACGCCCTTGCCTTGAACCTGGGACCCGGCCCGGGGAGGGTTCACCCTTCAGAGAGTGCTGTTTACAAATCTGCCCTTACTGTGGCTTTCTGCGGCCACTCCCCTGGGGTGGGGGGTGGTCGCTCCAGGGTCCGGTCTGGGCTCTGCAGCCTGCTTGCCGGCTTTCTGAATGAAGGAACCAGCGAATCGGCAAATCGACGAGTGATTCAGGAGCATCAGTGCCCCTGGCCGAGTCTGCCTGTCGGCTTTCTGAAAGCCGGAGACACGGAGCGAGAGGGGAGGTGAGCCACCAGCCGGCCTCGGTTGTCCAGCCTGGTGTCCACCGGGCTTCGTGCCCCAGGAGGACCCGAGCTTGGTTGAATGGCCCCAGGCGTCCCCCAGCCCTTGACCGCCGGCACCGGGAGGCAGAGCCCACGAGGAAAGGGCCACATCTCCGGGCGGCCCGGTGCTTTGCTTTGGGAGACAGAGAGGTGCCTGAGCCATCTGTGTTTCTCCTCTGCGTTAAAGGCTTTATGGTGGGGGGGGGGGGGAGAGGGTTCCAGGCCCAAGTCCCACGTGGAGATGACGTGGGGCCCCGGGAGCCCTGGGAGCAGCCCCAGACCCACTGACAATCTCCTGCGCCCCCAGTCGGCACCTTTGGCTCTGAGCAGCCCTGCCTGACAGGCCCTCAGGATGTTGGACAAACGCTGCTCACATCTCTGTACCCCCCCGACTCTGCGATTCGGTGCCTTTACTTACAATCACTGGGTTTTATTTTTCCCCTCTGTGATTGTTTTTCTCAAAATCTCCCTTATATGGCACCCTATTAAAAATTAATTCAAATGAGGGGCGCCTGGGTGGCTCAGTCAGTTAAGCAACCGACTTCAGCTCAGGTCGAGCCCCATGTTGGGCTCTGTGCTGACAGCTCGGGGCCTGGAGCCTGTTTCAGATTCTGTCTCCCTCTCTCTCTGCCTCTCCCCTGCTTGTGCTCTCTCTCCATCTTTCAAAAAATGAATAAATGTTAAAATTTGTTTTTAATTTTTTTAATTAACTCAAATGAATCAAAGGCCTAAATGTAAGAGTTAAAACTATAAAAGCCTCAAAAGAAAACACAGAAGTGAAGAAAGCCCCTCGACGTTGGATTTGCACTGATTTCTTGGATGAGACACCAAAAACACAAGCCAACAAGAGAAAAAAGAGGTGAACTGGGCTTCCGCAAACTTGCCGCTTGTGCTGAAGGAACTACCAAGAGTGAAAAGGCAACCCGAGGAACAGGAGAAAGGATCTGTGTATCTTCTACCTGATGAGGGTGTGGTATCCTGAATATGTAAAGAGCTCCCACAACTGAACAAGAACAAAACAAACAACCCAGTTCAAAATGGGCAAAGGAGGGGCACCCGGGGGGCTCAGTTGGTCGAGCATCTGATTCTTGATTTCAGCTCAGGTCATGATCTCACAGTTTGCAAGTCTGAGCCCCGCATGGGGCTCTGTGCTGACACCTTGAGGAGCCTGCTTGGGATTCTCTCTCTCTCCCTCTCAGAATAAATAAACGTTTTAAAAAGTTGGCAAAGGACTTTGTTATGGACCGCATGTCTGCGTTCCCCCAAAGTTCACCTGTCGAAGCCCTAACGCCCCGCGTGCTGGAATTTGGAAGTGGGGCTTTGCGGGCTGACCAGGGCTGCACGACGTCACGAGGGCGGGGCTGACCTGCTGGGACCACGTCCCGGTCAGGAGGGATGCAGGACGGCATGGGGGCTCCGTGACCTCGGACCTCTGGCTGCCGGGCGCTGAGGGGAACAGTCCCTTCTCCGAGGAAGAGGGGTAAAAGCCGGAAGCATGAAAAGATGCTTAACACCACTATTTAGCCTTTCAAGATAAATTCTGGATTACTGTGAGAATAAAAGTCTTGAGTTGAAAAAAAATCTCGCTTATCGGGGTTTTCCAGTTGCCGAAGAAGGTGGATGAAAGTCTGGCCAAGCCCAAGTACTGCTACTCTCACAGAGACGCTCAGAGCCACACAAGGGCCGGGGAGCAGGGAAGGGGGCTGCTGGGGGCCAAATGCCATCTCAAGGCATCGAGGGCGCGTGGGGCTGTGGGCAGAGCCAGGAGGGGGCTGAGGCTCGAAGCGGGAGAGAGACGGGTGAACCCGGGTGCGGGTGGAGGCCCAGGAGGGAGAGCCCTCGGCCTCGGAAGCAGGGAAGAAAGGGACCTGCAGGGACACGGGTGCCTGGGTCGTGCAGGGAAGGGGGCGCGCTGCCTGGGGCCTCGGAGGCGGCGGGTTCCATGCAGACAGCCCGTGGCACAGGCAGAAAACAAGGCTTCGGGGCTTTAGTAAATTGAAAACAAAACTTTAAGCTCCAGCCCCTCCGGGTAAACTTTTCCTGGGAATTAATTTCTAAGATAAATTGTTTTGGAATTGTTTGGTCCATCATGCCTAAGCCCCAGTGTTTTTCTGATTAGACATTTTCATCGAAATAGACCTGACGTCTGATCGGCACCTCAATCCGGCCGTATTGACGTCTGCCAGCCGGTGGTTCACGGGCAAAGTATGAATTCCTCACTGACGGCTTTGCTCAAATTGAGCCGTATTCTCCGAGAAATGAGGTGGGCACTCGGCTGTGCAGGAAGGTGCCCCACACCTCGGTTCCTGCGGCCGTGTGAGGCGAGTCTGGAGGGAGGGGAGCTTAGGGACAGGGGTCCTGGTCAAGGGGGGGGGGGGGGCGGGGCACAGGAAGCAGTTTACCAGGTGCACCTGCCCAAGTTCAAGGTCGGTCCCTGGCCACGTTCAGACGCTTCCCGTGCCCACCAAACAACGCGCCTCACCGAGGAGGCGCTAACCCCATTTTCTCCAAGGGCACGGTTCCTTAGCTCTAAGAAGCAAAACCAGCAGT